CCTAAACTTTCAAAGGTGCATTTGCTAAATTTCTAGTTGATTCTTGAGTTGCTTCATATGATAGATAGACTTTCTATTGAATCAAATACTCTACTTTGAGATACTTATGACATCGAATACGTTTCTTGAGTATATTTTCTAACTCAAACTCCTCATGATCTGCTATCAAGGTTGGAAAAGGAGTTGGTGTTGGTTGGTTGATGAATTTCTTTGATCGTGGTACATGTTTTTGAAATCATGATATATAGAATAGCAGATGTATTTTCATATGTGACAGAAGTTCCAACTTGTATGACATTTCACCAACACGCTTTTAAACAAAAAATGAAACAATGAACCTAGAGTTCAACTTTGGTGTTTCTACAAGAAATAAATTTGTTGTAGATAACCAAACATGATATCCTACTTCAAATATCAATTCTCTACAATGAGCATCGGCATGCTGTTTTTGCCAATTTTGAGCTATCAGCAACTTCTCCTTGGTCTGATGTACTACTCTGTGAATATGCTCCACAAACTTGTTGACAACTGCAACTTTGTTTGAAAACTATTCTCTTTTTGGAAGTCGCATTAAACTTAAAGGAGTTATAGGATGAGCACCATACATGAGGTAAAATTGGTACACTTTTGTGAATGCATTAACAAAATTTGTAATATACAATTTCACAAGAGTCAAAAAGGTGTACCACTCTTCTTGCTCACTCTGTTTGTACATTAGTTTGAGTATAATAGGTCATTAACATTGCTAGTTTTGTTTTGAAAAAACTAAACAAAGTTTCTCAAAATAAACTAGTGAAGTGAGCAAGTCTCTCCTGGATTAACACTTTGTTTAAGTCATGATTCATAAAAAGTGCATCTATATACAATTGAGTTAATTGTGGAGTTGATATTGTTTTTGTGGTTGGCTAGATGTGAATCATCTTGCTCAATTTGTCCACAAAAACCACCATTGAATTATGTACTAACAAAGTTTTTGGTAACTCATATACTAACATTCCGAATAACAATGTTTTCATCACTATTCAGGAGTAGGAAAAGCTTGTAATAAACCAGCTAGTTTTATATTACTTGCCTTGTTTTGTTGACAAGCAACACAACTTCAAACGTAAGACTCCACATCCTCACATATTTTGGACCAATAGTGTACTCGTTGTATTCTCTCCACTCCCACATGACCCGCAATGATTGTGTCATGACATTTTGACCAAAATCATTGAGCGCAATTCCTGATCTTGTGAAATCTATATGTGTTATTTGTAGAACACCTAACCTCGAGACTTTTCTGCCTTTCCAGTTTGTACTGCTCGAGTGATCTCTTCGTACTCCTTTGTAACTTGTGTCATATCGCTTCATCAATTAGTCTGAATTTTCATTTGTGCAACATAATTCAGACAAGTTATGCGTGTGAGAGTATTTGCAGGTTGCTTCTTTTCCTCCACATACACAATCTTTATGTTGAAACGTTGACATCATTATGCCCATTGATTTGTTGTTTAGAGAGTTTCTTATAAGTTTACAAATAAACCAAAGATTTATGATGGGTATTCACCACAAGATACTTATCATTCAAATAATGCTTCTAGTGTTTTGTTGCCAACACAATGGCCAACTCCTTTCATTCTGTCGTGTGATAATTTTGTTTTGTCGTCATTTACTTTTGAGATAAAAAATAACTAGATGTCATACATACTTTCATTCGTGTTGAAGTATGTCATCCACCATTGTACTTGATGCATCAATAGCCAACTTGATATGACGGTTAAAATCATACCACTTGAGTATAGGTGCGTGTAACAAATCATCATTCAATGACTAAAAGCTAATTCTTGAGTTATTTTCCATCTTTATTTTTAATCTTTTTCTAGTATAGAAGTCAATGCCTAAGCTAGGCAAGCAAAACCTTTCACAAATCTACGATAGTATCCAGTGAGTAATAAAAAGCTTTTCTAAAAATTCTAAACTGAGCTTGATACTCATGTGTTGTTCATTTCCGAATGGCATCTATCTTTTCATTCATTTCTTGAATTCTTGCTGTTGTAACTCCATAGAGTTACAACCGCAAGTAATTTGCTTCTGATTTGCCAAATTTATATTCAACTATATTTACAATTGATTATCTCTCAAAACTTAAAGTACTTTTCATAAATGATGTCTATGATCACTCAAAGTTATGCTATACATCAATACATCATTTAGAATAACAATGACTAATTTATCTAGATAATGTCGAAAGATATCGTTCATTAGTTCCATGAATGTAGTGGGTGTATCAGTGAGATCAAAAGTCATCACTAGATATTCGAAGTGATCATACCTAGTACAAAAATCAGTCTTGTGGCTATCTTCATCTACAATTTGAATTTGATTGTAGTTGCTTTTCAAATCTAGCTTGATGATGTATTTTGTTACTTAAAGTTGATCAAACAAATTTTCCATATGAGGTTATGGATATTTGTTATTCACCGTTTATTGGTTCAACCTCTAAAGGTTGATGCATAGTCTCATGGATTCATCATTCTTCTTCACAAAGAACACTAGAGTTCCATAAGGTGAAACATTTGGTTGAATGGATCTCTTGCTCAACATCTCTTTCACTTGACTTTTTGCATTTTTCCAATTCGTTTGAAGCCAAAACTATATGGAGCTTTGCAAGTTGTTGAACTTCTAGATATCACCTCAATCTTGTTATCTATTTACCTCTTTGGTGATAATCTTGCAAATAGATCAATTAGAAAAATATCTTTATATTCCATAAAAATGTTGTTCAAGGAATTCGGAATGTAAAGCTTGTCCATGGATTCTTATCTCTTCTAAGTTCAATGAAACATACATCATATCTAGAAAATGATGTTTTAGCCATCACAAAGAGGAATAAATTTTTATTTCGAGATCAAATTCTATTTCCATAGATCTTCCAACCACTATTTATTATCACTTTTCTTTTCAAATCTAACTCCGGATTATATTGCTCCATCCATGACATTCCAAGAATGACATCATATCTAGCTAAGTAAATTACTTTTCATTCAATATTTTCTTTGTATCTACCTATGGATAATATTACATTCTGTGGTGGTATTTTTGTCACTTCAGTTTGATCGTTCGGCAATTCAGTTTCCTAACTCAAATTTTTAATTACCATCAAACCTGACTTCATAGTAACATTTTTTTACAAAAAATTCTTTGTTGATCCACAATCAGTCAGAACTTTCACCGTGTACTTTAATCAAATCATCTATGACAATGAGTTGAACTTGCTTGTTACTTTAAATTGAGAAATTTTTTGCAATGTGATTCATTCGTTCACATGCATAGCATTGACAATTGTCACAAACTCCAACTACTACTTGAACAATTCCACTATTTGCATAATTTTCTTGCAAATTTGAAACTTTTGGTCGTCGAATCTCATCTTTAAATCTTGGAAGTGGTACTCTTGCTGGTGCAAAATTTTCTCAACTCAATGTCAAAGGTTTCCTAACTCTATCGGTGTAAGACTAGATGGATCTTGAAAATTGCTTGATGGTTTATCATGTGTAACACTATAAGTAGCCAAAACTTGTTGAACAGTTGTGATTGTTTCATTCACTGTGGATGAATTGCTTACCATCAATATTTCTTAATCCAATATTGCAAGCTTCAATTGAATATATTCAAGAATTCTACTACACTCGTATCCATGATAGATATTTGAAGATCATAAAATTCTTCAACGTACACATGAGCATTTACTTTCTATTTCAAAGTCCACAACTTCATTCTTGTTGTTTGAAGTGAAACCATCGTTTGAAAATACTGTAATAATCGTTCTCTCGTGGTACAATCCCAAGTCTCTCCATAAATATCTATTGGAAAAATTAATGATACTCTTGACTTTATCACTCTAGTAATAAAATCTGTACCTAACAAATCACAAGGTACATCCGAAAATAAAATAAAAATGTTGATTATTATAACCTCAATTTATTAAGATTTATTTGTCCACATAATCCCACCATACAACCCCGTACATTATTATTCATGTTACATTAATTTCATTTTGTTATTTCAATCATTTTACAATTTTGTTTGTTCATTTTTCACCATTTATAGTTTTTATTTACCTTGAAGAACTCGGCTTTCTTTGCTCAATTTTCACCATTTGTAACTCTGATGTATCCTAGAGATCTGAGTTCTATTTGCTTTTTAAAATATATAACATTGCTCACTTTTGATTTACTTTGAAGACTTTGATTCTTTTTAAGATTGTTCATTTTTCATTATTTATAATTATTTTACTTTGAATACTTTAGGTCACTTTTCACTATTTATAACTATTTTACTTTGAATACCTTAGTTCTCTTTGTTCATTTTTTACTATTTATAATTATGTTTATTCATTTTCCACAATTTATGATTATGATTTATTTTTCCACAATTTATGACTATGATTTATTTTGAAGACATTAGCTCTACTTATTCACTTTTCACTATTTATAACTTTGCTTAATCATTTTGCACAATTTATGACTATGATTTATTTTGAAAGCCTTAGCTCTCCTTACTCACTTTTAGATGTGCTTTACGTTGGAAACCTGAAATTAACCACACTAAAAACAATCCCATATTTGAATTCGCAACAACACATCAAAACTAATAATATCCATCAAGTGAAATAAATATTTAAGGTATCTGCTAAACATGCAATTAAAACATTTCTATATGATGACCTAACTACTATACAAACTATTCTCATTGAGAATATCCAATATTGACGTGAAAACCTAACATCAATGTGTCAATTTAGGAAGATTTAACTCTATAATTCTAATGTATGGAAACATATAGTTATCATGTTGTATTTTGTACTAAGAATTTTTAGATTAAACTATTTTATGTTAGATAAAATTCAATATTCCTTTTCAAATTTTGATGCACGAATCACAAACATTAAATCCAACAATGATAATTTGTAAGAATGTTTTATGAATAATCTTCACTTTCATTCACAATTTGAAAATCCCAATGCTATATTTCAATTTTCCAATTAAAGAATCAAAGGCTCCACATTTCCATTCAGAATTCCGGCTCTGTTTCAAGGATGGATGTAACGAGGCCGATTGCGTTGTGCCCGGTATCAAAGAAAATCACGAGAAATCAGCACACAAATACGAGCTGAGCTTGCCCAAGATTCCATCTCTCTTATGACACTCAACATATCAGTCGGAACTGAAGGTCAGGAACAGCTCTCTCCGACTACTCAGACCAGATTGCAAAATCTCTCATTAATTTATTTATTGATTTGTGATCTCGATCAAGTCGTCCAATCGACGTGTGCAATCCTGGAGTTCTTTCAGTACTGTGGGTAATGACGCTACGGCAACTTCTAGACGCTTCATCAGGCCCATTCGCTGAGCTGCCAACTCCGAAAATTTGTCTTGCTCCTGGGCTGCATGGACGTACAAGAAGGCTGTTAGTTGGACACCTGATAAGGTGACAATAATCTTCCGTACTTCTTGCGATACCCTGTAATAACTTCTACGCGGTAGTTTCAGCATCTTGTAGCGATCAAAACTGCAAATCAGGACATGGACGCTTACCACGCAACTTCAGCATCAAAGTGATCAGCAACGTGTACGTACAGACATTTACAAGAAGAGTGAGGGGAACAGTCATTGTAGCACCTCGCATCGTCAATTAGTTTCTTGCGACGTTTGACTTAACAATTCCGAAATTCAGGGTCACATACGGACTACGGGACATCACAGTGACAGTCTCAAGCCATCTCCGACCTCAGTCAAGTCTCTAGATAAAGCTATCGAGTGATCAATCTCAAAATCAGTCGTCTTGTCTTGATGCAATCATAGACAGTTCCAGAAACCCAGAGAGGGGCAGAGCAGGCCGACGGTAACCACGGTGAAGTCATAAAATCAACCTTGAGACGACGAAAAGGCAGTGACAAATATTCGTAGTTTGATAAGTAGGCGGAGAAGATTTGTAAAAACCTGAATCATCGGCTGAAGTGGTATCCACCGCTGGAAGCTGACGAAATGCAGACAGAGACCTCTCCAGGAAAACTGCGAATTCCTTGGGACCCTTTTCCCTCAGCTCTGCCACTTTCGCAGCCAGTTCGCTAACCTCCACCTCCAACTTCGCGCACTGCTCGTCACTCACCTCATCACCACACTTCAACTCCGTCTCGCCGATCTCTGGCAAAGGCGCCGGTTGAAGCTCCTCCGATGTAGGGCCAATCAAATCTTTCCCTCCGTTCTCTGCCATGTCCGATTCTACGTCCTAGACAAGACTGCCCCGAAAGAATCAACGATGATATCCGCAACTTCGCGGCACAAATGAATCCACTCTCGAGCCTGGCTGTGCCAAGTGTGACGGAAGATCTTGCAAATTCCGATTGCAAGAGCTACCTCCAGCCAGGAACACAGTAACATGCCAGCGCTGGCGCAAATTTACCGCCCGTAAGCCACTGCTGCGAAGCACAAGAGCTCTTCTCCAGGCCTGGGAATCGCTAGTTTACTACGAATCCAGCGCGGTGTCAAAATTATTTCACGCAGGTGGGAAAAACTCTCGATGTCGCGAGCTCTGTCAGTCGCTCTTCGGTTATCTCTGAACTTACCGGCGGTAGACTTAGACTTACGGGGCTCGAGGACAATGGCCTTTTCATTTGAAGACAACGACCCCTAGAGCCCACTTACCAAAACAAGGAATTGGCGGGAAACAGCGGTGGCCGTTCTTAGTATACTCGTGGAAGCATGCGGATGTTCACTGGAATATATATTAATCGACTAGACTTATATTGTGTATATTTTTGTAGTATTTTTATTCAATTTAGTAAGACACTGACTCTTATATTATTGACTATGAAACACCAAAGTTGTGAAATAATAAGTAAATTTCTAAAATATTTTTCAAACAAAAAAATTTGTGAAACACAATGAAAAGGTTTTCATTTTGACAAAAAATTATGATTTGGTTGTAACATAAAAACATATAACCAATGATATAAATGTTACAATAAAAATCAGAATTATATACTGAGATTATAATTATGTGATAAGATGATTTACTAATCTACAAACACAACTCTTCACATATTGTTGCATCTTGTTTTCATAGTTATTCAAATTAGTAAATGTATGATTTATTACAACTATATATAATTTTCCACAAGCATGTATAATTGATTATGGATGGGATTGTTTAGTTTTAAGTCATTGCTTTTTAAATGTAATTAGTTAGACTAGTTAGACAAACACCATTTAGAAAAAAAATTTGTTGTTATTGGTAACAAATATTTCAGGACTATAAGAAAGTATTTGTTATTTCAAAGTAGATTTGCAAAGATGAATCACATAGTTAATCCTTAGGTTGATAGTATGCATTTCTTCTTAAAAACTTTTGACTATTGATTTCAAACCGCAACAAAAATCTATGATGGCTATCAAGAGAGGTAGTTTTGAAATCTCGACGTAAGATAGTGGTACGAAGTTGCATCGTGATGTTTTGCTTATAGATGAGTATTGTGTTGACTTATAGATTTTTGGGAGAGTTTGTTTTGAAGTTTGCATGTAGATTGTATTTTTAATCTCATATGAAAAAAACACATTTAATAATGATGATTTGGTGTGTGTTGAGCTATGTCGCAATACATTTTTAATTATTTTAATATATCTTTAGACATAGATTTAAATTATGATAAATAATTTATAATATCAATATTTTGTATGATTGATAAATAGATATTTAGTTATGTTGGTTGAGATCAACACATGTTAGCAATTCATACTATTGTTACATAAATGTGTCATGTTATCTATTCACCAAAAAAATTGTATGTTGGGAATGAAATATTATTATTTTTATATTTCTTAGAATTTATAATCTAGAGTTTTTTCCAATTTTTTGAATTGTTCAATCATCTTTCAAGTTGTTAATATTTAATTTTTTAATATGTTGAAGAATGGTTAGATTAGTGTGAAATGTTGTTGTGGCGTTTGCATGTATAGACGATGATGTCAAATTTTCATATGTGTGTGCAAACTATTCATGTGCGCATAATCTGTTCCTCTCTTTTTCACTTTGCACAACTTGGACATATATTTGTGCTTGCACATAGTGTTCTTCACTTTGCACATCTTCCCGTAATGTGTAGCTATTTTTTATGCATACAATATTTAAATGATGGTGTGAATGTTTATCGTTCAAATAAAATTTTTTAAGGAGTGATTTACTTACTTGAGCTGATTGTTCATTAATCTTTTAATCTTGAAGATGTCCACGATGATTTCTTGATGTACAATCAATTGTGGAGACTTTTAGAGTAATTTTTGAAAATATGATCAAGGCATTTTTTTACTATTTTAAACAACTATGAGTTCAAACATTTAACTCATTGTTTTTCAGTTTAAGTTTTTTCACAAAAAATTGATCATATATGATTTTATAAATATATTTTTTATGGAATTCATACGCGTAAAGTGAAAAAAAATGCGATGAAGAAGTATGCTACATAAAAAACTAAAACTATAGATTGTATGAGAAGCTATAGTTTAATGGATCTTATAACCTTTCAAAAATATTATTAATGAGAAATTATTATTTAATTAACCTATTATATTAAAAAATAAAATAAGGAAAAAAATAAAATTTTCATGATTGATGTTATTCAGGAAAGGATTGATCATTAAAGATTTAATGCTGTGATCAATAATAATTTTTTAGTAATAATGGATAAAAGTTTTGAAGAAGATTGTAATTGTTGTTGAGTCTCAAAATATTGCTCTAATCATGAATTTTATTTAAAATTATCTCATAAAATTTTATCAAATCAGATGAATACAGTTTTCACAATATATAAAACATGAAAAATATATCATTTTTGGAAAACACATAATCAAAAATAAGAGATGTGATATCAATGTGTTAATCTTGAGAAACAAAATTTTCAGAACTATCAAAGTTGAGTAGATAAAGTTCAGTGCAATTTTACTTTGAAATATGAGATATAATTCTTGATTGATAACAAGATTAAAAATCCAATTAAGCATTAAAATATAAACACATTGGATGATAGCAAGTGGATGTGATCTACCAGATGATGAGAATAAGATCTTCAAATGACAGTGGCTTTAAATTCACACAATACAAAAATCAGTATTACAACAACTTTATTTCATATGTAATCATATATGTTATAGTTATATTTATATTTATATTTATTGCAATATTCTATCAAAATATAGATCAAAAGAATGTTTTCACATCATTTTTAACAGATTTTTGGAAAAAAAATGTCTACAAGATGTAATGAATTGGAATTAAAAAAATTTATATTGTAAATTGTAGAACTCACTACATTGATTAAAGCAAGCTACTTAGTAATGTGTTGCAATATTACATAAGTTTATGAAAGCACAAACAAATTTTCATAAAATGTGTATGATCCATAATGATACAAAATGAAGCTGAATAACAAGCTATTTAGTCTCATTATTCTTCTCTATATAATAGCTAGGTTCATCTTCCATTCGTTTATTTTGACTAATGCAAGAATTAATTCAAGAAAAGATAAAACATTTGAGTAGGTTTTAGAGTAGGTTAGAGTAGATTAGAAAAAGGTATTAATCTATTAAGAAAAAAAAAAACTGATTGTAACTCTCATTCACACAAGCTTAAAATCTTTTAGTGAAAGAATTTTGTATTGTCCTATGATGTAATCTCATTGAAATGAACTACTAATTAATAGTATAGACTTTCTATGTTTGTATGTATTGAATAATGACAATATCATCTACAAATTCACAACAAGATCATTGGAAGCATCAATTGTGATCTTGTATCTTTGTCATATTCTAATTCATTTAAAATTTCATTAGGTTCAAAGATGTGTTAACACCATTGGGCAATTATTTCTTATAATATATCTAATGAAGTTCATCACATAAAGTAATGTAATATTTATGATCATCCAACTACTTAAGAACATGAGTATTAAATATGACATCTTTGAATTTACAATTTTCTCTTTCATTTCATTTCAATTGTATTCTAACTTCAAATCAGTATTCTACTTTAGCAAAGCTTACCTACTTTTACATGACTTTTGCCTTATGTTATCTTTACGATGTGATCAGATCTTCTCTCATGTTTGTCGATATCAAACTTTGAACCTCATGTCTTTATGTTTTTTATATTGTTCTATATGGTTCCTTTTACTTTTTTATTCAAGTACTCCTATATGGCAAAAGCTAACTATTTTAGTTAGCTACAGTGAAATAATCAAAATAAGCCAAAACTTTGAAAAACTTCTAACATTACATACTTACAAGATTTGACTTTAGTTATGTTTCAATAATCTGATGTATGACAAATTAGTAGACTATAATGCTCTTCAGTATCTTCAGGAGTCACTCACTCATAGAGAATTTAGATAACACAAGATTTGTGCATGTTTCATTGTTAGATAAAATGAACACAGTATTGTGATTATACCTGTATGTGTCAATAATTTCAACATGATTGATATGGTACACTTTCAGTGATATTCAAACATCAGGTGAAAACATCTTTCAAGCTCAATTATCAACTTAATATTTGCAACTTTCATTCAAAGGGAAGGTTTACAAACGATGTGTGTAATCTATGCTCTAATATTTTTCTCATGTAGTCTCCTTGCTTGGATTGTTCCACTTCATTCATGACTTTATTATATAAATTATTCAAGTTAGATTATGTTTTTTTCTCAACATGATAGTTTTACGGAGCCAAAAAACAAGGACTCATTTCCTAGCGGGGTGGTGAATCAAAACCTGGCCGAGCATTACACAATTGGAAGCGACTTCTAAACAACAACAACAAGGACCCAAAACATCTAATGGTCAATATCATAATTATCGAGTCCCATACTTGCTTCACATACTGCCCAACTTTTGTTTGTTTAAGTGTTTAAAGTGAGGTGAGAAGCATTGACAGTCCACTGATGAACACCTCTCCAGATACCGTCTGAAACAAACCTTTAACATGAAAGGATTTTTATTTTTCCAAAATTAGTGTATCATGCTCACATTTTCTTTCTCCGAGGCCATTTTTTCCAGAAAATAATTTAGTGGAACAAATTCACGAGAATGAATCAGAAATGTACATGATCAGCAAGAGGGAGTTCGCACCATCATTCTTGTCTCTGGAAGGGAAACTGGAGGGTCAGCAGGTCCAGCTGCTAGCACAGCGGTGGAAGGGAAGCTATGCAGGCTCCCGTAACGAGAAGGCGATGGAGGAAAGCTGTCCGTCCGATCTACCATCGCATGTTGGACGTGGAGGGGGAGGTGGAGAACAGGAACGGAAGGGCTGGCAGACCAACTCGTCAAGCGAGACGAGGAGGAGGCAGGAATACGACGCCTGATCCCACGACTGCGCCCCGTCTGGCGCACGACGGCCTCGTCTACCGCGATCCCAGATGCGGGCTCGAAGCAGCAGCAGCAGCCGCACCAGCTGTGAAGAATCTGCAGATGCACTTGCTCTGCGCTCGTGCGCGCTCCTACTACATGTTCTAGTTGCGCCTTGCGCCTCTGCCAATAATTTACTTCATCTACTCTGTACAATTCTGTAATTTTATTTCTTCCGCCGGTCGATCGATCCGCAGACGCACAGGCGGCAGAGCAGACGAGTGCAGCGGGAAGAAGAGCTGTGAGCCGGGCCGGATTTGGGCAGAGGTCTGGCAGGGAGAATTCACAGCTTCGGCGCAATGCAGCCGCTTCCGCTTTTGCTGCATTTGCTCCTGATTGTGTCCATAGCAGGTTCTTCCCGAATACTCTCCTCGTTTCACGTTCTGTTGCGTGGACCTGCTTGGGATTTTGTGTCAATCGAGCTCATTCGTTAAGAATTTATGTTCCTTCACTTGAATCTTTGAGTTGAGTTCGTAGATCTGGTGTCGAGAAGAGCAAAAATTTGAGCTTAGGATTCGTACTTCCTCAGAACTAAGAGCTGGATCGCTACTTGCAGACGCAATCTTTGCTTCGGATTCCGACTGAAAATCTTGTTTCGATTTACTGCTCTTCACTTGTTCACAACTAGGAAAAAGATTCTCCTTCTTGACGATCTGCGCCTTCGATTTCCAGCATTTCTGCAACTGGCTGATGATTTGACTATGTAGATAGCAGCTTCTTACGCGACTTTGGAGTTCTTGATATATGAATGTTAAATGGATTTCTCTTCGCATGATCGTAGCTCAATCTACGTCTTTGGACGCCAGAATCTTGAAATGAAGCAGACACAGTCGCCGATAATGCAATTGATAACTCGAACAGAGTAGGAGTCTTACTTGAACGCTATGACATACTCTGTTCGGTTTTGTCCAAAACCATCGGAACTTTGTATAGCGTTTGATACTTCGAAGCGAAAAGCTGAAGTGAATCTGCATTGGATGCGAGCTATTTGATAGAGGTCAGTCGAAGAGTCCATAGCCCTAGATTACTTTTCATGACCAGAAGATGAAAAGTACTTAGACCGAGAGGCATGAGCGATAGAGCTGAGATTTGATAACAAGAAATTTCCTAAGTTTGATAGTTAAGAACTTCATCTCGAGCCGGTGTCAGCGCTTTGTTCACAATTCAAGAGAATAAGGACTTGCCGAAGTAATTTGAGAGCTCTATGGCAGAACAGGATCCGATTTCAGATACCTGTGGGCTTGTTGCTTGCTGTCCATCGCCCATGATTCTGGTTGCTCACATTCCAATGTTGCATCTGTTTGGATCTAAATATGGTAGTAAGGGCTTCAAACTTCAGCATAGCCAGTGCAGGCATGCCGCAGGGGTCTACGTGAGCGGAAAGATTTGGCGAACTTTGATAGTGAATTATGTTTTTTGTGAAGTGAAGGCCGTGTTGAAGGTTGGGTTGTTGATTTCGAACACTGAACATCATTGTCACTAAACTTTTGAATATTTGCCTTCTGAAGCTCAAAGTCCACCGGCACCTCCTCCAGCGCCAGAGTCACAACCGCCACCAGCACCAGCGCCTGGTGTAGAGGGTAGCACCCCTGCTCCAGCGCCTGCACGCAATCCTTTGAGTCCTCCTGCTCCTCCTCCACCAGACACCATTCCTAATCCAAATGGGAATCCAAGTCCAGGTACGTTTCGTGTTTGACAAGCTCAACAATTATCCTGGAGATCGTCACGGGAGATTTGTGTTATCACTTTCTATCATTGGAAGGTATCTCCAGTCTTCATAAGTACAAAGACTGTTTGAGGTTTGTTTGAAGGTTTGATGGAAAAGAATAACTCATCCTTCCAAGGCGTGGACCTTGCCTTCCAATGCAGCTCCTGCTCCGAATGATCAACCATCGAATTCTGAAGGGAGCAACGTGACTTGGTGTGCTGTCAGGGAAGAATATGACGCTTGCTTGAAGTATACAAGTCTCATCCCTGGACCCCTCAACTGGACATGGTATGTCCTCATTGGAAGAATCTTTTCTCTATTTGCTGTTTCTCCTATACAAGTTTTCATCAAGTCTTCTTACATTATTCCATTATTTATAAGTGAAGCAAGCGATTCTGAAAATGACCAGTATCTGAAGTTATGATGGTTGGAACGTAAAGGTCTAGGAAAGTCGAGACTTCATGAGTTATTCCGGCCACCTTTTTTCTCATCTCGTATATTTTTTGCTTCAGTGTGGCTAAGGAGAACAAGGGAGAGTGTATGGATGCCATTAAGAATGGAGAAGCAGATTTGATATCATTGGAGGCAGGCTATGCTTACATGGCCTTCCTCAACAAGTCCATGAAAGCCATACTTTCTGAGGAGTACTCCTTCCATGCTCAGTCGTATGGAGCAGTAGCAGTGGTCAACAAGTACATGTGCGACAGAAACTCTCGGCTTAGTCTGGAAGATCTTCGGAACTTCAAGTCGTGCCATCCTGGTTATCAAACTTCTGGTGGTTGGAACTATCCCGTATATTATCTCCTTAAGATGGGCATTGACCCTAGGCTGAAAAATGATTCTTCCGATCCAAACGACGTTAAAACGATTAACAGCTTCTTCTCGGAAAGCTGTGCACCTTCCGAGTTGGGCCATGGAGGACTTTGCAGCGCTTGTGGCAATACAAGTTCTTGTTCAAGTATAGACAATATATACGCAGGAGAAACGGGAGCATTTCGCTGCTTGATGGATGGAACTGGAGACATTGCTTTCCTTAGAGCGAAGACAGCTACAATGTACTCGAGCGATGGTGTAAATAGGCAGGCCTGGTCAAGTAAATCCGTAAGCGAATTCATGTGAGTAGCACAGTCTTCTCCCTTCCCCTATGTTACCTTTCATCCCTGTCCTAGATGATGCTGCTTATCCCACTCATTGATGTCATGCCTAGACGAAGGCTTTTCAACATTGAACCAACTGGACGTGCATATCACAGCTCTCTGAATCCCCATGTTACTACAATGGCTTGTTTATAGCCTGACACCTTCTTGGTGGAAATCACTTCTTCCATCATTTACAGCTTGTTACGTTGGGTATTGTGAGTGCAGGTACCTTTGTCCGGGCGGAGGATGTAAGCCGATAAATGAGAACTATGGTGACTGTGTGTAAGAACTCTGTGCGCGAACATGTGAAGTTGTCTATCGTCAGCATTAGTTTTTTGCTCCTGCTGTGTTCCAGTTTGAAAATTTCTTACATTCCGTTTCTACAAACTTTTCTGTGTGCTCAGATGTTGATTTCCCACGATATGCAGACTTCTGCGTATGATCAAACGAGTTCAGCTTCATATTAACTAAAGTAGGCTCTTAGAAAAATTATTGAACACTTAAGAGAGCTTTTTCATATTCCCATGAGTCCCAGCGCTGCCCAGTCTAGCACTCTCATCCTATCGTGCATTTGCTCGTTTCCAGCTTTGCAACGGTTCCGGCTAACCCGTTAATGACCCGGAATAATATTACCGGTAAAAGGAGGGATGCTATTATACAGGCCTTGCTAAATGCGAACTGGACATCGCAGCTTTACATGGGGAATAACTGGCAAAATTACTTGCTTTCAGTTAGGTACGTTTGCAAATTTTGGACACTTTGAGTGGGCCACTTCAATGATTGTGACAAGCAGAAAAAGAAAATTCTTGAAACCTCAGGAACTGTGTGTACATTGCAGTAAGGAAAAGTGAGCAAAATTACTTTCTTGACTTGTGTGATCAGCACCCAAGCTTTGGCGAAAGTGAGCCAGCTCACAAGGCAGTATTTGTCGACATCTGGGAACATCTCACAGATCGTTCTAGACATCAACAACAACATTTTATCTCTTTCAGGCTCTCCTAAGAAGACAAGTAAGTCTGGACAGGTGTACGGCCAATGAGTTCTTCAGTCTGCAACCATTTTGTTGATTCTTCCACCATATTCTTCAGTCGTGCCATTCTGATATTTTGGACATCATCGAGCTTGAATAGGATGTGTTAAATCTTCCCGGTTCACTTGGGCTGATCTGATTTTTCTTCCATGACTTCTCACGGCTGCAGGTATTCCTAGCTCTGTTATATCTCTTGCCCTTGGTGCTGTCACAAGCGGCATCCTCTACTCCTTCCTCGAAATTTTGTAATCGCTGTAGGTGAAGTTTTCACAGAAGCTTACCATACTTCCAGTTCTGTTCGTGGTAAATTATCAGTAATCAAACTTAAGACGAGTGGAAGTGCATCTCGCGACGTTAGTAGACCAGGTATTGTGGTGAGTGAAACAGCCAAGCTGTGGCCGAACATGTAAAAGTAGAAACAACTCGAAAGGAACTGAACAACATCTGGAGATGTCCAACCCACGGGCGAGATTTATTCAGAACAAGTTCGAGTTGCAAACTAATAAGAATCTCGCTCTGACGCTGCTCAAATCTCGAGCTGGAGACCTGTAAACAAATATTTAGTTGAATGAAATGATTTACCGCGACGTAGCGCTACTGAAAAGTATGTTGACTTCTCTTGCAGGACCTAGTCTGGCCGCAGGCTGTGTACATAAAGCTTTCAATGAGATCCACAGTTACATCCAGAAGCTCTACTCACCGAGAATACGCGCTCGTTTTTTGCGAGTCTGCTGGTAGGTTTGCCAATATAACTCGACGAGCTTTTTATTTCTCGTAAACAGCGTTCTTAGCGTGACTTGCTTAGCTATCATCTTGGGCACCACTCTCAAGCTCTTCAATCTGTTCGGTGCAGGATTGCTTCTCTCGTTCCACCAGTAGATGAGCGGGGCGTGGTTTTGGGAGCTGCGAAGGGAACAAGGCAAGCCTTTTAGGAGACACTGTACTTATATTGGTCATAGAGGGGCCCATTTACGAGGGACTCTCTTGGATTTTACATCTGATCAGATCTGTACACGCTTGATTCAGTCCGTAGCTTTACATAGCTGATCCAGTTGACCTGATAGAATTGTTGAGAGATATATTCTTTCTTTGGCTGAATCTGCAAAGGTCTCCACCACAAAATATTTGCATATGCGGAGGACCTGTAATGGGCGTCACAACGTCCACAATCCCTCGATGTTAATCAAAATTTTCTCACGCTAACAATTTAAAATCTATTAGGTATTACTTAGACACAAGTAATTTGTAGTTTCATTACAACACAACTCTTCCACTCGCTTAGTTTGTGAGAGAGCATGTGGTATCAGTCGGCAGTTTGGGATCAATACCTACAGCCGGAACAGTCTGCAATGTAAGTCAAAATTCTGCAGTTCAAGTATTGGAAATCTAACCAGACTCTTCGAACTTACCGTCACTTTTTATTGGTGGACTGCTCTTTTAACACCATCTTACATGATGAAACACTGAATACACACAAACTCAGCGACAGTACATTGATTCCTTCCTTATAAGCAAAAACAGTTGTCCCATCTGCGGCTCATGAAAAGCAACTCTGATGGATAGCAGAGAAAACAATCGTTGACACCATTTGTGCAGTATGAGGAGTTTCTAGTAAGCTCTAGAGAAGGAAGAGCAAAGGAAAACGAACGGATTGTGAAAAAATGGGTGAATATGTGATTTTGTTACTTCCAGCAATGGCAGGGCGGTACAGGAGCAATGGGCAAAGCCTTCTTGTGCTGTAATCTGGCTTACTCGATTAATCACGTGGTGGTTGTGACATTAAAACAACTGACTCCTAGACAAGTCGGTTTAGGAAATGACCAGTGCTGCAACACTGACGGAAAGCTCGCCAAGTCTGGTGTCACACCTCGTCATCGGACTGCCAACATTAGCGCAGTTCCACTATCAACGGACATGCATCACTGAAGCGAAAGTCTCGAACTCAGAAATGAATTTCTCACCGAGAACATGAGAGACTTGCGAGAACTTCACAAAGACAATCATACCCGAAAGAGGATGACGGACATGGCTATCCAGAAACTAATAGCACTGAAGTGAACTTGAGCTGTCCAATATCTTATTCAATATTTGTCTAACACAGACGTCTACAACCAAACTATTGTCTTACAGTTCATCACGATAATATCTCTCCTGTCACTGTTAACAACAAGGGCATCTCACGGAGCGTGTGAAGAGTGTGAGCCAGTTTATGAGGACAGTGCTGCATTCGCTGAACTTTGACAAATCTCGTCTTGCTTAAATAATGACGGTATATCTAAGGTCCCCTGAGATTTCTCCAGAGCAGAATGAGGCTCACCTCGTCATTTAGTGTGCCATTCCGGACAGCAGCTCCTCCACCGAATACAGCGCCCAACGAAATTCAAGGCATCAAGCTTGAGCAGCAGGCTCGTGAAGCTGGAAATGCTCCAGCGATCGGTGATTTTCCCACGGCCTGTGATACACTGTCGCCTCAAAGAGCTTGCCTGCGGCATCAGCCCCGTCTTCCTCATCCGTGGCTTCGATGACGAGGCGATAGAGAGTGCCTGCGACCAGCTGCCTCGTCCCTGAGACTATCTTTCCGAACTTCAACTTCTTTCCATGTTGAGCGTTGTGCCGCCCAACTGCATAATGTCCGATCTCCTTCAGGTCTTCCTTCTCCTTCTCTCCATCGATCGCTCTCGGAGCTCCACAAATTGCGCTTTCCTCATCTTTCAGTGGCTTGGAATCCCGAACCCTTTCTGCAACTTCCACATTGTCAGCTGCTTCGGACATCGTGTGTTCTAGATCCTCTACAAAACGCAACGAGTAGCGGGAGGTCACGATTCAGAAAACTGCCGGCTATCTCAAATACACTTCCTCTTGTGAAACGCGACACTGCTTCTTTAGTCGAGCTGATCTGAAACGAGATCTGGGTGTCCGTTCCCTTCTTCGCTGAGATCACTGTTTCTAAGCATTCAGAAAGTCAACTATACAGTAGTCCGATTGCTAACCATCGACGGCAGAATGTGCTGATAAACATGGGAATGCTAAATTTGGCTCTTCTGTCTTTATGCATTCTTGTGCCTGCTGACGACGGAAGTCCCCATATACAACGACGACAGAATTTGCACCCGGTACGAATATTTGGAGACACAACTCACAAGATTTGCGATATCTGAACACCTTTCTTCGTGTTCCTTGTCTTCCAAACAACTCATTTCTCTCCAGCTTCTGTGGTACTTAGCATTCTAATCCGCCTTATAAGACTGCCAGTCATGATTCTAAGTTTCTGAGTCGTGGTATCGATCATGAATCCAGACCTGTATGCTTTTCGACACAGTTCCAGTTTCACTTTCGTTGCGTTTGCACCCGTACGTCCACCTGGCTGCTGTTGGTTTGATGCGGAAGATTGAAGGTGAAGGAGGTTACTAGATGCAGTCTCCGGCTGTTCCGTCCAAGAGGATCTACTGCATCTGATGTCGATTTTTCCAGAAGATTTAGGATGGTGTGTCGTTGCTGCAGTGAACTTAGCTCCCACACAGACGCTGTAACTAGAACGAGAAAGGTGATGGTTCTAAACTAGTTACAGCGTCTGTTGCCATTGCTATTGACGTGGCCCCGAAACGAGCGTTACTGGATTCGTTGAGCTCGACTGGTCTCCATACCCCACAAGACAGACTGCGTCACGAGAAATCCACCAATCTCTAGGCTCCTATTCTGCCCTTCGCTCGTCCTTCAACTTGATACAATGGCCGTATTTCAAAGTCTCTCTCCATAAGATGAAACGTACTCCTCGGAGCTTCTTATCTTCTTCGTGTAGTTTTGATCTTCCAGAAACAGTTCTCTCTCTCTCTCATATCAAGCTAAATTCTGTCGAACTTTCAAATGCGCTATTGGCTACAATTTGGACTCTTCTCGTTCTTTTGTTGTGCGAGTGGGTTCTTCTTGGAGAATCTACTCTCGAGGTCACTATCTAATTTCACGTTTCAGAGAAAGGTCGTGGTGTGATCCTGCCTCCTCAGTTAGTCAGAAGATCCCCGGTGTAAACAATAACTTTCGCTTGAATCTTAAAGCATGTCATCGTGCATAGACATCTAAGAGTTTCCTGGATATAAATTTCCGATAGTCTCGGAACAAGAACCACGGTGATATCGCGAGCACTAAGATTCTGAACTTCTCGAGAAATTTAAGCTCTCACCATTGCGTCCTACAGCCCGTAGTAAGCAATGGTGAAATTGGACCATCCCCTATAGCCTTGAGGGGATGGTCCAATCTTGCAGGAGGCATATCTTCCGGGTGGAGTGTGAAAAGTGTCTAAAATTGTGTCGTAGAGTGTAGTTAGGTAGTGCGCACTAGCTGTAAATTTTAAGTTTCAATGGAGTTCTAGTGACAGAGTGCATTGACTTTTGAATTTGAGTTTAAAGATTTCGGTGGAGTAGAATCCACTAGTTGAAGGGTTGTATCTTGAAGCTGTGGAGTGGAAGGGCTTACTTGACTACAAACATTCATACGTAACACAATCTCATGACCAAATTGAGTCATTTTTTAGTTGTTGAGAGGGATGTGCCGGAATCTTGCAGACCATATGTGCACTGCCTAACTCCACGTTTCTACAAAATTTCAGACCCCGATCACACTCCGCCCAAAGATATAACCCTTGTGAGATTCGACATTCATCTCTCAACACGAAGTTTCACCTTCAGTACATACCTGAAGAAACAACCACCCTAAAAGTCGACTCTTTCCCCTCACTCTTGAAAGTAAAACTCGAAACTTAAAAAATCAATGTACTATGTCCTTGCAACTCCATTTAACCTGAAAAGTTGCATACTTATGCGCCTATCTACTAACCCTTTACATGTGTTCATACGTGTATATAGACTATCTCGCAAGCATCTACGGGGAATTTAGGATTCTCCATGACGACTATGTCGCAAGAGAACAACATTTTCGAAAGGTTTATAGCACATTTAAACCTGGAGACATTCACTTATCACAGTCATTCGATCCTATGCTCGGAAGCAACGGTGATAACCATTTAACTTTGAGTGTGGTTACTGCCTGGTCGATGTGCACCAGGATATAATTAAGGCATGCACTATGGATGAGAGAGCGAGTTCCAGATTCTAGTACCAAGAGCTCGCGGCTGCTCGACCAGCTGGTACATGTGAATCCACTTGCCAAATACTCGTGTCAACGAAGTAACTGAACTAGTTTACAACCTTTTTGATGATGTATAACTTGAACACCTCCTTGAAATTTCTAGTCTGTTGAGAGCTTCAAATGACATGTTGTTTATCAAATGCTTTGTCCCCATCATTTCTATAACTTAAAGGCAACTAACTTGAAATTAAAAATCATTCAATTTTGATTGCTATTTTTTTTCTATATCACATATTTGTCAACTATTGATTACTAGTGTCCAACCCTATGAGTGCTAAGAACACTGAATTAGTGTTTTAGAATAGTTTAGAATGCATAGGAGAAAGAAGAATAGGCGTAGAAGAGTCGAATTAGATTTTGTTGGGTGTTTGGAGCAATTAGAGTTGCGCGCTCGCCCTAGTCAGATCCTTAGGCCTACCCATTGGAGATGAAGAACCGGCGTAGGGTAGGTAATAAGGAGCACGGTCATTACCACAGCGAGTGTATGCAACCGGCCGCCCGAAGGACTGTTCAGTTTGTAGATACCGAAACCGGAGTATACTATACTCTACCTGACGAAGAGTACGAAGAGGAAGCCCACCTATTATACCAAATCCATGAGGGATTTGGGAGAGGTAGGGCCCAACCTCCGAGGACTGTGACTGCCCCACCACGAGTCTACACCGGCTCGGAAGGAGGCGGCGCACCGATTGGACAAACGTCAGGTATGGAGAGAAGATCATCTACTGCTACAAGTGTTGTGGACCAGGGCATTACGCCAACAACTGTCCAGTACCAACCCCATCACTTGGAGTGATGTTCAAACTTCCTTGCCAAAACTGAGGTAAGTATAGACATCCCGCCACTTCGTATCCAGAACCTCCGCAGCCGAGAACTCTGTTCAAAACTGTGGATATCCCACCACAAGAGCAGACTGCGCTCACCATGGCCAAACAGTCGGTGTGGATAATCCAGAGAAATAATGCTGCAAGGTGAAGCCACCGGAGAAGGAGGAAATTATGGCGTATAGAATTTCAACACATGGCTCGTGGGGCCAGCTGGAAGCTTCGGCGAAGGCGGAGTCAGGGCGTTGACCTGGTTTTCAGCGGTGGCAAGTTAACAGCGGAATTCGTGACAGCCGTGTCATACTTTAGATAGGCTTGGCGATCCTAGCATGGTCGCATTTTAGTTTGTAGTAGCTTTTGTAGGATTTTTTTAGCACTTAGTAGAAAGTGTGGCCACCTTTGCATTTAGGATAGCCGCCATCTACTTTTTGCCCCTTCGGTTTTCATGGGGTTGGGAAATCTTAGAAAGTAGAACTGGTGGCATTATTTAAAGGGAGAAAGATGGACACTCTTCCTTGTCTTTGTGTACCTTACACCTTCTAATGCATTAGTCTTACATGCTTGCCCTAAATTGTGTTTCCTATTCTCTTGTTGGGTCTTTTGGATGTAAGTGGTAGACGGTCTAAGTGCTCAAAGTACATAGTAACCGGTCTACAGTAGTGTCTTGGAGTATGGTCAGTGTAGACCGGTAGTGTTGGAGTAGTTGTGGTGAACGAGGTCTCGGTTATGAGACTAATGAAAAGCCTGCTTTGTGAATGTCATTAGGCTGGCGCGAAACAATGAAGGAAGAGAATCTTTGGGTCAGGAGTTCAGCTGGGGCGGGTAGTTCGGTTGACAATCAGTCCTTGTGCAAGTTTGTTAGAAGTAGTTCTACCCTGGGTTATACATTGGTGTAGAAGTAACTCAACTGTTGGAAGTACTACTCCAAGCGTTCTATTCTCCGGTTTGCAAGTAGGAAGTTCTCACGAGTAGGGTAAGATTCGGGCCATCCTTAGTGACTTGCCATCGGAACTAAAAACCGACGGTTGAAGTTTTGCAAGACCCCATCCGGTCTGAAGTATTACTGAAGTTGTCTTTGTCGGTTTGTTGAGTTTGTAAGTTATCTAAAGTGACCTTCCTTACACTCTAATCAACAGGTAGAAGTAAATCCATCAAGTCTAAAACTATGGAGATCACTTTGATGTCTGACAGAGGTTAATCAAACCAGTTGAGAGTGGGAACGGTGGACTGGGAATGGGTGAAAAGAGTATCTCCCCCGAAAGAAATCAGTCAAGCAGAGTCGCACCACCGGACCAATGAGAGTAAAGGTCCAGTTGAGGAGTCAGTAATAAAGAAAGTTTGCCCATTTTGTAATCCAAGTGTGAGAATCGTTAGTCTTTGCACTTCACAGAATTCCCGCGGAATAATATATCGGAGTAACACCTAAAAACGAGTTCTTGATACAAAAAAGTACTCTTTTGGGGAATACCCTATACCAAGTGTTTTGACAACTAGACTATCGATTTTCATCAATAAAATCAAAGTGTCAATGTAAAAGTTAAGGTAAGATTTGCATTATTCAATCCAATCTAACTTTCAAAAATATGAATCTCATCAAAAAATGTCCTATTATTTATGAGTAAGATTGAGCTTTGTAAATTTCTGTCACTCTATCTGGACAATACATTTGCTAAATATACATAAAATATACAGATTTTTTCCACAAATTAAATGACGCTTGATATATTTTCTTCTAATTTGGCCAGGAATAAAATAAAATGGTGGATTGATTATTTCAATGTAATTCATTATTGGATTATTTTTTTTAAATCATAAAACTTTTGTAACCTTGATCGCATCTATTAAATGATACACAAGTGATGAATAGTATACTCTCCTCTATCCTATTTTATTCCATTCTATACTCCTAAAACTTGGCTGTAAAATGATTTCCTCTAACCCAAACCGAAAAATATAGTTTTCAGACCCCATTACATTTGACGGACAGCCACTTGCGGGTTGTCAGGCTTCCAGATTGGCGAACCTCTTGTTCGGAACAAGATCCCTTACAAGAACACCTGAGCTCATCGCGATATGCAAATTCCAGCCAGATTTGGAGGCGCTCGTCCCTCGACGACAAGGAGCAGCCATGGTGCGCAGTCACGCACAGACCTCGTGCACAAAGTCTTCGTGGATAGTAGTGAAAACTGCGTTCTCGCATCTTCTTCTGGAGGATGAGATGGTTTGATTTCCAGTTGATTGATTTTCTTCGTCGAGTTGAGCTTTACTCGTGCCGCACTCGCATTCTGGCTTTCACTCTAATTTCTGGCTTTGGCCTTCTGCAGTCCAGTACTGAACGCTTGAAGCACAAGTACATGCCCTCATAGTCATGAACGATAGTTTTGTTGGTCCTGTATCCCGCTGTAGGAGGAAGAATTTGACAGTTTCTTTACTAGGATGAGGTGGAAATCCGCCACTCGTACTCTTTGAAAGCTGCGAGAAAAGACTTCACATCAAGTGTCATCAAAACATGATGGTACGGAAATGCGACTCAAGAAAATCCTTCGATGAAACGAGACCTTGTCACTGACTAAAGTATGCAGTACGATCAGTTCAGTCTTTCAAGAAGACTTTCTCTCAACAAGTCGGCCCTTGAGCTTCCTTTGCGCTATGGTCCCTCCTGGCAAAGATACCGTTGCCTGCGGCCAGAGCGTTTTGTTCCATGTTTGTCATGAGCAAGATCGCAAGAAGAACTATGTTTTGCACAGATTTTCATACCAAAATAACAAAGCGATAAAAAAGTGTCCATACAAGAAATTCCTGACATAACGAGAGGACTTCTCCTCTGGAAAAGAAACTGAATACGCTGTAAACTTTTTACTCCACATCGGGCAATCTTTAAACTTCCTTGTTGATGCGATTCCTTCTAGGATTTAGACTATCTGTGAATTTCCGTTCTTCAAGGATTGAAACATGAAAACAATGGAACCTTACAATTGGCAATTAACCAGAGCACAAGTGGCGGCAACAACTACAGAAGCTTACATACAAAGATGAGCGTTAGAACAAATCCTCCAAGAGAGCTCTATAAATATAGATCAACAAAGCGAGTAGCATTGTATGCATTCTCTCCCTCCAACTACTAGGGGAGGTCCGAGCTCCTGTGATGCTTCTTCGAGTTTCACATCTTGAGTTTCGGGTCATACCAGTCGAAGTTTTCTTGATTAAGCTCTTTTGTTACTCAAAATTGCTTGACTCCTATGCTTCGGCACCTTCTAGGTT